TTCTGAAACAAATAAGAATAACTCAACACAAAGAACTACATAGTAAAGCTTGGATAATGAATACCAAAGGATTAAGTAATAGAATCTTGTGAGATTTCCATTGTCACTGTAACCAAGAAGGAGGAAGTGTAATCAAATTCAGGGGTCAGGATCTTGAAAGCTGGAAGTAGAAAAGAACAGAAAAGAGAGAAAATGAAATTTCCTCAGGTGGGGACCTATAGCACAGAGTTCCTTACTTCACAGGCTGCTGTGAGGACAAAATGAGCTTGTGCACAGAAAGAATTTAGCCCAATTCTTGGCACAATTTTACTTATAATTAGGAACATAAAAGAAAGGCAATGCACTACAATATTCTTGCCTGGAGAATCTCATGGACAGAGGAGCCTGCTGGGCTATGTCCATAGCGTCACAAAGAGTTTGACATGACTTAGCAACTAAACCAACACCAAGAAAGGCTACAGGGCATGATGGGGCTTCTCCTTGGTTAGCTGGCAAGTCAGTGAAGGAATTCCCAAGCCCAACCCCAGGAAAGCAATGCCATCCAATAAAGATGTGAGTATGGGTCCCAATCTCTTTGGGCATAAGAACTCTTTTCTAACATCAAAATATCTAAGTCAAGACCTTTAGTGTTCTGAAAATTCTGAAATTTGAGTGCTGAAAGGAACATTTAATGTCATTGGATAGAGACATCTCAATTTACTGTTGTGGATACTGAAGGTCAAAAAAGTGAAGGCTATCGTCACTATCACACTGAAAGCTAGACACCAAAATTGACAGAAACTACACTACCTACCTTCCATTAGGATTTTTGTGTCCTCAACTGTTCTTTGACTTTTTTCCTCCTGCCTCACCACCCCTACTTTGAGAACTTGGGTTTTATAGCTTCTTGGTCTAAACTTCTTTAATTTGAGGTTGTGCCAACACTTATTCATTCCTTCATGTAGGCCTTTATTCATCCAAAAGTGGTCAACTGCTATTGGGTACCAAGGTCCTGTCTGGATACTGAGTATACAGCTAGCGAACAGAGGGTCCTAGTAAATGACAACTCTTCGTTATCAAGAGGAGTTCCCAGGACTTTCCTGGTGGTCCAGTGGTTAAGAATCTGCCTGCCAGTGCAGGGGACACAGTTCGATCCCTGGTCTGGGAAGATTTCACATGCAGCAGGGCAACTAAGCCCATGCACCATCATTACTGAACCTATGAGCCTTAACTACTGAACCTGCATGCCCCAGAGCCCGTGCTCCACAACGAGAGAGTAGCCCTTGATCACCGCAACTAGAGAAAACCTGTGCTCAGCAACCCAGTACAGCCAAAAATAAATAAATAATACATAATTAAAAAAAGAAGAGTCCCCAAATGTAGAAGGACAGAAGTGTCAGCCCCTCAGGGTCACTGGAGAATTTCTAATTAATATCAGTAGTAATAACATCTTTGTTTGGCAGTTCAGAAGTCTTACAGGCTTCAGAATGATTTAAAATTTGCCCAGTAGCTTATTTACGTGGCCTGATTTTCATTTTTGATCTAGTTTAGTAACCATTATTTATCTACCTAGCCAGCTTTGTAATTCACATTTTCCCCTAGCACACAGTTAAAGAAACTGGTGAAATGTTCATGTTGGATATGACCAACGACCCTGTTCAGGCACGCACACACCCAGGAGAGTGAGCTGTCTCATTTTACTCCTTAGTTCATGAGTTTTGGGAAGCACATGCCCTGTCTTAAGAATGGAATGCTGAGAGTTAAGACTTATTCAAGACAAAACCATGTAAAATCAAAGTTCTCACCACATTCTTTCTAGGAAGCAGATATTTTAAAATGTTCAACCACTGGCATTGTGTTTCTAAAATAACACGTTTCCTTTTCATGTTATTTCAGTTGTTAAAGAGACAGATGAAACTGATAGTTACTTGGCTGAAAATATTTTTGTTGGGTGATGTCCCTATCCTGTCTCTACACCCAAGACATTCATTCTACAAGTACTTATTGACGATATTAGAGTACAGGGTTCGAGCTGTGGGTCACAACATACTGATGGGTCATGAATGGTGTTGGGCTGCAGCTGGCATTTTTAAAAATGAAATAGAACAAAGTAAAACAGGAACCATCAGCATGAATTACGTGCAGTAAGGGTAAATATTGTTACATTCACCTTTTGATTCCTATCTGTGTGCATGTATGTGTGTGTGTATAAATGTGAGTGAATATTACACTGTGCTATAAAACTTATTTCTTATTGTGAGTCACCATCAAAAATGTTTGAAAACACTGATAGAGTGGTTAAAAAAAGCACAGACTCTGGAGTTAGAATGAATTCAAATCCTGGCTCCATCACTTTTCTAGATGTATGACTATTGGGCGATTACTTAAACTCTCTGTGAAATGGGAATTATGACAGATCCATTAGGCCTAGGAGGCCCTGGACACGAACACGAGGTACATGATATTTTGGCTATTGGTGTTTAGTCACTAAGTCATATCTGATTCTTTTGCGACTCCATGGACTGTAGCCCACCAGGCTCCTCTGTCCATGGAATTTTCCAGGCAAGAATGCTAGAGTGGGTTACCATTTCCTTCTACAGGGGATCTTCCTGACCCAGGGGATCAAACCCACATCTGCTTGATAGACAGATTCTTTATTAATACTGAGCCACCTGGGAAGCCACACACAAAAGAAATGTTTGATATCTTTTAAAACCAGAAGAAAAAAAAATAAACCTTTAGGGCTGAAGAAGATATTTTACATTTTTTTCTCATGTAACAAAAAAGCAAAATTTTTAAGGTCCACCAAAGTCTACTTTGTGGGAGGTGCCCTCAAAAGCAAAAATTCTTGGGCCAATGAGAGTTGTAACACACTCTGAATAGGTAAGGTGACCAATCCACCACAGTTTTAAATAGAAAGTCCTGCATCCCATGAACCCCCTCAGCCATAAGCAGACAGGACTCTCAGCTACTATGCTGATAGACTTGTTGTGAAGCTGAAATTAGATGATTATTGACAAAGCTTGGCAGATTGCCTAGTACATCAATGCTCAGTAAATGCCTTACCAAGGGTAGGCACTGTGCTGGCCTTGAAGAATTTTGTAAGGTGAATCACACAAGGCCAGCCCTTGAGAAGCGGTAGAATCTTACAGTGGGTGAGAATGACTGTGGAGCCAAATGGCAACTGTTCCAATCCCAACTCTGCTACTTCTTAGCTTTATGATATAGAGCTAAGTACTCAGACTTTCTGTGCCTCAGAGTCTTATCTGTACAGTGGAGAAGATCGTAATTGTACCTACGTCACTGGAAAGTAGTAAATATTATATGAGTTGGTGCTTAAAAAATACTTGGAGCAGTGTTTTGGAGAAGGAAATGACAACCCACTCCAGTACTCTTGCCTGAAGATCCCATGGACAGAGGAACCTGATGGGCTACTGTTCATGGGGTTACAAAGAGTCAGACGTGATTGAGTGACTAAGTACAAGCACAGCGATTAGTATACGGCAAGCACTTCGCAAATCTCAGCTATTTAAGCGTGAACCAACTAGCAGCTGGGGTTGCTATAACAAATGCCATAGACTTGATGACTTCACCAACAGAAATTCATTTTCTCATAGTTCTGAAGACTGAATGTTCAAGGTCAACATTTGGCAGGGTTCAGTTTCTGGTGAGAGCTCTCTTCCTGGCTGACAAATGGCTACCTTCTGCTGTGTCCTACATGGGGGAGAGAGAGAGAGTGAGACACAGTGGAAGAGGGCCCTTGCAGCTCCTCTTGGCATCCTGATAACCAGAAATGAGCCATAGGCCCACGCTTATGACCCTCACTGGTAGAGAAATATGGGATCGCCATACTGGTTTGGCTTAATTACGTTTCCTCCAAATAGGACTGGTCTTCCGTCAGCAAGGCAGAAGAGGAGCCTGGCTATCTTGGAGGCTTCTGACAGTGTCTGCCCTGAGGTGTTCACAGGCCACCTGGGAAGCCAGACAAAACAATAACAACTAGTGGTGTGTAGCTGTGGCCCTAACGGTGCGAAGATGGGGGCCGGTGCTTCAGGGATGTGACAGGCGAGTGGGGTCTTGCAGGCCTGAGAAAGATTTCTTCAGCTGAAGAAGTGGGCAGAGGAGAGGAAACAGCACAGGGAAGGGCGTGGAAGCACCAGCAGTACAGGGTGGTCAGGAACGGGCTGGAAGGGAGACTTTAGGAGGCAGGAGTGAGTGCCGAGATTAGAAGAGAGGCAGGAGAAGTGGGTGATCCCAGGTCATGGAGGCATTGAATGGTGGGCTCAAGAGGTTGGACTTGATCCCGAGAGCGGTTGGAACCCTTTGAATATTTGAAGCCAGGAAGTGGCTGATTAGCTGAACCACTTTTCAAGGGAAAGCCTATATTTCTCAGTCTTGCATGTGTGCTTGCCAGGGGATAGATGGTGGTGTGGTTGGGGCTTTTGAAGCCACAGAATGAATGAGTACATCTCCCCACATGTAAGTGACTGGTTTGAGAAGAAAAAAGAAACTTATCCCCAGTAAGCAACTTAAAATTTTATTTTGATACTGAAACAAGCAAAGTAAGACACAGGATTTTCAAGAATAATGAAATAAAAGAGAAGACTTTAAAGAAATTATGAGTTTGTGGTGGACTTCTTTGGGCTATGATCCTAGTCCTCCAAAGTCTACATTTACTGTCATCTTTAATCAGGTGACTGGTGGTGGAAAGGTTGCAGAGCCCCAGTATGGAGGGCAGCAGGAAGCTATCTTAACTGTTCGCAGGATGTTCTTTACCTGCCCAAGATCTCTCTGAAGGAGTGCCTCCCTGGAAAGTATCCTTTTCAGACAAGGTCACAGAGAGTATCAGGTGCTTTGTAACTCAGTGTGAATTTATCTAAGCTACTCTACTGGATAGTGCTATTGTCAACCCTGTTAAACAGGAACTATGTTTCCGCAATCCCTTTCCTGTTTGGTTTCAGGTTAGAGTCGCCCCAAAGAGGAGCTTGCGCCAAGCTGGGGAGGTGAGAGGGAAGCAGCCACTACTCTCTGGAGGTCAGCATGGTTAGAGGCAGTGCCATACGGAGAGGCGCCAGTGCCTTCCGGCTAGCCCCAGCCCTCCTGCGCTCTGAAACCAGCTCTTCTATCCCAGTGGTGTCCCTGGTGACCAACAGCAGCAGCAAGCCCATCGTCAGATGCTGTGGGCCCACAGCCCACACAGGCACAGCTTCTCTCTCAGCTTCCCCTTCGCAACCCACTGGGATGTGCTTCTCTGGTTGATAGGCTGGCAACTCTCTCCTCTCACTCTTCCTTTCTGACTTCCACTGCCATGCTCCCCTCATGATTGCATAAGGTTTAATTCCAAATTCCTTATCCCAGAGCTCACTTCGGTTCTGCCTCCCTGATTGGACCCGGATTGATACACGCAATTTCCTTTTGATGCTTCACTCAGCCCTGAGGACAGAGAGGTTTTAATGGAAAATAAAGTGAGGAGGTAATCTCTAGCAGGGACCAACTGCATAGTGCAGGGAACTAAACATTGTTCCATATTTGGTAACAACTTATAAGGGAAAAGAATCTGAAAAAAATATATATGTATATATAACTGAATGACTTTCCTCTACACCTGAAACTAACACAACTTTGTAAATCAACTATACTTCTATAAAATAAACTAATTAAAAAAGAGACAGGAGGTAATCTTTAAGCTGTGACAATATTTGAGAGGTGAGCCTGGATAGGACATGGCAGTGGGAAGTTGTAAGCCCAGAAATCAGTGAGGACCACCCGCCACCCCATAGGCAAGGGGTAGAGGGGGCAGTGCAGAGGTGAGAGAGCAACAGAGAAGGATGGTTCCCACTTCCTGCTTTCAGCACGACCTGCCTCTGACAGCAGCTTGCTCATTCTCTTCTGGCTTTCAGAATGTTTGTTTTAACAATGGTTTGTAACAGATGATGCTTTCATGCCCCAGAGAGAAACAGAATTAAACACACACACACACACACACACACACACACACACACACAAAGGCAAGAGCAGTGGAAAATAGAACACTGAGTAAGAAGAAAGTCACACAAGGGATTCATTAGTCTGGACAGGACTTTGAAGAATTCCTTTTGTGGCACTGAGTTTATAACACTACATCCTTCTTTAATGTTCTTATATCTGGGATCATAGATGATATAAGTAGATCTCTCTTTATATTTTGAGAGTGCTGTCTATTCCATTGTTCATGATTCTATACATAAAGATCCATGTAAAAATTCTCCTTCAAGAGTGCAAAAGTGGGAAAAACCTGGAGTCTTGCCATTCATTTATAAGGCAAAAAGAAGTATGATATTTTTATTTTTCTTCTCAAACTGGTGGCCAGGAAACTCAGATATACATTTGATGATTGTAGGCAGGTGTGTTCTTTAGGCTGTTAGTTCTGTCTTTCTGTACTTAGTTCCCTTGAGTGTCAGTCCTTGAAAAGTTTCTTTGTGAATGCTTAAGGCAATTTTGTGTTTGTTGAATTTGCCAAAGGTCCTTCCTCTCGCCTTATTTTCTTTTTTTGTTTGGAGACAACCTAGAGAGGGCATATTTCATTTCTGATAATTTGGCACCATTCCTTCCTATTCCTCCCAAGAGACAAATGTAATTCTTGACTGGGAGGAGCACAAAGAAGGTGAAAGCTGTGTTTCCAGTTTGGACAGAAATGAAACTGTACTTGCACGTGGATCATACCTATGTATATGGTTATTTTTGTCATGAGATGCAACCAAGCTATGGAACACCTTCAGGATTGCTCATTTGTGTGGAAAAAAGCTTAGCGGTTTGCTCCTAAATAGTCAGTGAGGAGTTTTCAGACTCATATGATGCACAGGTTACCATGAAGCTCTTGGGCTTCTTCTATTGGTTCCTCAGCTTACTCATTTTTAGGTAATGGTCCAGTTACTAAAAAACAAAAATCATATGAATTGTTGTCAAGTAGAAACATGTACAGGTGACTTTATTCATTTCCAACCTTTTGAAACTGTAGTTATATGATTTGTAACTAAAATTAAATTTATAAAGAATTATCTAGGGTGAAAGAGATCACCAGCCCAGGTTGGGTGCATGAGACAAGTGCTCGGGCCTGGTGCACTGGGAAGACCCAGAGGGATCGGGTGGAGAGGGAGGTGGGAGGGGGGACCAGGATGGGGAATACATGTAAATCCATGGCTAATTCATTTCAATGTATGACAAAAACCACTGCAATGATGTAAAGTAATTAACCTCCAACTAATAAAAATAAACGGAAAAAAAAAGAAAAGTTTGTTATGACAACAACGTGAATTCCCTTTTGTAAAGTTGAAGTCCATAAATTTAATCACAACAATCCTATCCTCAGGCTACAGAAAAGTAGATTAAAATCAACATGGATAATTTAATCTGAAGCCCTGAAGGGAATTCAATCTGGTTCTAGAGAATAAGAAAACAATAAATGTCAAGGAAAATTCAATCTCACTTCATTAGAGAAATGAAGGATCTGTGTAGCACAGACCAGGTTAACTACCAGTAAAATGGCAAAAAATGATGTAGTTGTTACATAAACATATCATAACAAACCCAAATACACAGACATATTCTGTGTACACATGCAAGCACACCCACACAACATAAGTACTATTAAAGCAAGAACTTTTTCTGCTTTGTGGTATTCCCAGAGACCAAAACACTGTCTTACAGTAGTAGGTACTCAAATCTATGTCAAACAAGTGATTCAAATATAAATAACATAGAAAGATACCAGCATGCACCCTTAGGCAGGGACATATTCTCCATAAGTATTTTACACTAAGAGAACATATAGATTCTTAATTTAATATAATAATATCTATGAGAGAATAAGCTAAGACCAGCAGAATGGGTTGAAGAGGATATTGCAGAACTAAATAAAAGTTAGTACTATTTGGTATTTAACAAATAAACCTGATATATTAATAGCTATAGATATAACTGAAAGTCAAATTTTGGTGGAGAGTCTTGAGATAATCCGAATGAATGTGGAGAAAAGGGGAAAAAAATAAAAAATTAGGCAGGAGATGATAGACATGAAGAGGGCAAAGATGACTCTTTGATGACTGTGAAGTAGAGACTCTCACAGATGGAACAGAACATGTATTCAGAGATGTAATATAAAAAAATTTACCTTAAAATGAAAGAAAAATAAAATTGTAAGGCAGATAAGGCATATCACATGCTTGTAAAAACAGATTAAAAATGATGGGGATCAGAGCAGATCTGCAGTCTGATTTAAGAACTTGAAAAATGAAGACAAATTATTCAAGTGTTCAGGAAGAAGCAGTGGGAGGTAGACTGGCCTCAGACTTTTCCACAACAGTCCAAGCCAAAGACTATGAAGTAAAATCTGCCAAGTTCTGAGGGAAACAAAATGTGACCTGGGAACACTGTACCTAGTCAATTCTTATCCAGATGTAACAGAACCAGTGAGACATGCTCAAACATGAAGGAAGTCAAGAAGTCCAGTACCTATCAGCCACCAGCACTTAGGAAATTCACTAAAGATAAATTGATTTAAACAAGAGATGAAACAAAATAAAGAATCTAGGAATGAAAAAGCTGTGATTAAAGTACTCATAGCTAAATATTGAGAGACTAAGGCTGACAACAAAAGGATTTACATTTTCAGGAAAAAATGTGAATGCTGCAAATCTTGATTAAATAAAAATGATGTGAGCCAAAAAAAATACTAAGAGAGAAAGAGAAGGAAAAAAGAAAAGGTTGTGCTAACAAGTGCATCTTTTCTCTTGGAGCAAACTGATACTACAAAAAAACTAAAATGCATTTTATTTATTTATTTATTTTTGGCCACACTGTGCAGCATGTGGGATCTTAGTTACCCAACGAGGGCTCAAACCTGTGCCCCCTGCACTGGGAGCACTGATTTAAACACTGGACTGCCAGTTCAGTTCAGTTAAGTCACTCAGTTATGTCCAACTCTTTGTGATCCCATGGACTGCAGCACGCAAGGTGACTCTGTCCATCACCAACTCCCATAGCTCACTCAACTTCATGTCCACTGAGTCGGTGATGCCATTCAACCATCTCATCCTCTGTCATTCCTTTCTCCTTCCGCCTTCAATCTTTCCCAGCATCAGGGTCTTTTCAAATAAGTCAGTTCTTTGTATCAGGTGGCCAAAGTATTGGAGTTTCAGCTTCAGCATCAGTCCTTCCAATGAATATTCAGGACTGATTTTCTTCAGGATGGACTGGTTGGATCTTCTTGCAGTCCAAGGGCTGCTCAAGAGTCTTCTCCAACAGCACAGTTCAAAAGCATCAATTCTTAGCACTCAGCTTTCTTTATAGTCCAACTCTCACATCCATACATGTCTACTGCAAAAACCATATCCTTGACTAGACAAACCTTTGTTGGAAAAGTAATGTCTCTGCTTTTTAATATGCTATCTAGGTTGGTCGTAGCTTTTCTTCCAAGGAGCAAGCATCTTTTAATTTCACAGCTGCAGTCAATATCTGCAGTGATTTTGGAGCCCCCCAAAATATGAAGTGAGCCACTGTTTCCCCATCTATTTGCCATGAAGTGATGGGACCAGATGCCATGATTTTAGTTTTCGGAATGTTGAGCTTTAAAGCCAGCCTTTTCACTCTCCTCTTTCACTTTCATCAAGAGGCTTTTCAGTTCCTCTTCACTTTCTGCCATAAGGGTGATGTCATCTGCGTATCTGAGGTTACTGATATTTCTCCTGGCAATCTTGATTCCAGCTTGTGCTTCATCCAGCCCAGCATTTTGTGTGATGTACTCTGCATACAATAGGCATTGCCTTTCTTTGGGATTGGAATGAAAACTAAACTTCTTCAGTCCTGTGGCCACTGCTGAGTTTTCCGAATTTGCTGGCATATTGAGTGCAGCACTTTCACAGCATCATCTTTCAGGATTTAAAATAGCTCAACTGGAATTCCATCACCTCCACTAGCTTTGTTTGTAGTGATGCTTCCTAAGGCCCACTTGACTTCACATTCCAGGATGTCTGGCTCTAGGTGAGTGATCACAACATCATGTTTATCTGGATCATGAAGATCTTTTTTGTATAGTTTTTCTGTGTATTCTTGCCACCTCTTCTTAGTATCTTCTGCTTCTGTTAGGTCCATACTGTTTCTGTCCTTTGTTGTGCTCACCTTTGCATGAAAATTTCTCTAGGTATCTCTAATTTTCTTGAAGAGATCTCTTGTCTTTCCCATTCTATTTCCTCTATCTCTTTGCATTGATCACTGAGGAAGGCTTTCTTATCTCTCCTTGCTCTTCTTTGAAACTCTGCATTCAAATGAGTATATCTTCTCTTTTCTCCTTTGCCTTTAGTGTCTCTTCTTTTCTCAGCTATTTGTAAGGCCTCCTCAGACAACCATTTTGCCTTTTTGCATTTCTTTTTCTTGGGGCTTGTCTTGATCACTACCTTCTGTATAATGTTATGAACCTTTGCCCATAGTTCTTCAGGCACTTCAGATATAATTATGTCTGATTATATCTATCAGATATAATCCCTTGAGTCTATTTGTTACTTCCACTGTATAATCATAAGGGATTTGATTTAGGTCAAACCTGAATGGTGTAGTGGTTTCCCCTACTTTCTTCAACTTAAGTCTGAATTTGGCAATAAGGAGCTCATGATCTGAGCCACAGTCAGCTCCTGGTCTTGTTTTCTTCTGACTGTATAGAGCTTCTCCATCTTTGGCTGCAAAGAATATAATCAGTCTGATTTTGGTATTGACTATCTAGTCATGTCCATGTGTAGAATCTTCTCTTGTGTTGTTGGAAGTGGGTGTTTGCTATGACCAGCGTGTTCTGGTGGCAAAACTCTATTAGCTTTTGCCCTGCTTCATCCTGTGTTCCAAGACCAAACTTGCCTGTTACTCCAGGTATTTCTTGACTTCCTACTTTTGCCAGGGAAGTCCCCAGAACATGTATTTTAAAGCAATACACAATACTGTAACCAAATGAATTGAAAACTTATGTCTATACAAAACCTGCACACGGAAGTTGAGAGCAGCTTAATTCATAAGAGCCCTAAATTGAAAGCAACCAAGATTCTTTCAATGGATGAGTGGATACACAAATTGGTTTTTCATATTTCATTCATACAGTGCAATAGTATTCAGTATTCAGTAATAAAAAGAAATGATCAATCAAGCCATGAAAAGACATGCAGAAACTTTAAATTTATAGTGATAAGTGAAAGAAAGCAATCTGAAAAGGCTACATGCTGTATGATTCCAACTATATATCATTCTGGAAAAAACAAAAACAGTAAAAAGATCAGTAGTTGGCAGGTGTTTCTGGAGGGGGTGCAGAATGAATGGGTAGAGCACAGAGGGTCTTTAGGCGGTGACACTATTCTCTACATTACTGTTATGGTAGATACATGTCATACATTTGCCAAAACTCAAAGAATGTACAACACAAGGAACAAGTCATAATGTAAATTATGGCCTTCAATTAATAATGATGCATTAATAAGAAGGGCAATGCCAAAGAATGTTCAAACTACTGCACAATTGCACTCATCTCACACACTTGCAAAGTAATGCTCAAAATTCTCCAAGCCAGGCTTCAATAGTACGTGAATTGTGAACTTCTAGATGTTCAAGCTGGATTTAGAAAAGGCAGAGGGACCAGAGATCAAATTGCTACCATCCATTGGATCATCAAAAAAGCAAGAGAATTCCAGAAAAAAACATCTACTGCTGCTTTATTGATTATGCCAAAGCCTTTGACTGTGTAGATCACAACAATCTGTGGAAAATTCTTCAAGAGATGGAAATACTAGACCACCTGACCTGCCTCCTGAGAAACCTGTATGCAGGTCAAGAAGCAACAGTTAACTGGACATGGAACAACAGAGTGGTTCCAAATCAGGAAAGGAGTGTGTCAAGGCTGTGTATTGTCACCCTGCTTATTTAACTTGTGTGCAGAGTACATCACACAAAATGCTGGGCTGGATGAAGCACAAGCTGGAATCAAGATTGCTGGGAGAAATATCAGTAACCTCATATATGCAAATGACACCACACTTATGGCAGAAAGTGAAGAGGAACTAAAGAGCCTCTTGATGAAAGTGAAAGAGGAGAGTGAAAAAGCTGGCTTTAAAGCTCAACATTCCGAAAACTAAAATCATAGCATCTGGTCCCATCACTTCATGGCAAATAGATGGGAAAACAATGGAAACAGTGGCAGACTTTATTTTTTGGGACTCCAAAATCACTCCAGATGGTGGCTGCAGCCATGAAATTAAAAGATGCTTGCTCCTTGGAAGAAAAGCTATGACCAACCTAGATAGCATATTAAAAAGCAGAGACATTACTTTTCCAACAAAGGTCCACCTAGTCAAAGTATGGTTTTCCAGTAGTCATGTATGGATGTGAGATTTGGACTAATAAGAAAGCTGGGTGCTAAAGAAATTATGCTTTTGAACTGTGGTGTTGGAGAAGACTCTTGAGCGGCCCTTGGACAGCAAGGAGATCCAACCAGTCCATCCTGGAGGGAATCAGTCCTGAATATTAATTGGAAGGACTGATGCTGAAGCTGAAACTCCAATACTTTGACCACCTGATACAAAGAACTGACTTATTTGAAAAGACCCTGATGCTGGGAAAGATTGATGGCAGGAGGAGAAGAGGACAACAGAGGATGAGATGGTTGGATGGCATTACCGACATGATGGACATGAATTTGAGCAATCTTTGCAGGTTGGGGATGGACAGGGTGGCCTGGCGTGTTGCAGTCCATGGGGTCACCAAGAGTCGGACACGACTGAGTGACTGACCTGAATATTGGTTCACCAGTTGTAACAAATATACCACACTAATGCAAGTTTTTAATAATAGAGAGGGGCTTTCCTGATATCTCAGTTGGTAAAGAATTTGCCTGCAATGCAGGAGACCCCGGTTCAATTCCTGGGTCAGGAAGATCCGCTGGAGAAGAGATAGGATACATACTCCAGCATTCTTGGGCTTCCCTTGTAGCTCAGCCTGTAAAGAGTCTGCGCGATGTGGGAGACCTGTGTTTGACCCAACCAGAGGTTAATTAAGCCAATATTAATGCATCAGTATTAACTGAAGTCCATAATTTACATTATGACTTGCTCTTTGTGTTGTACATTCTTTGGGTTGACAAATGTATAATGACATGTATCCACCATAACAGTACCATAGAGAATACTGTCACCACTCTAAAGACCCTCTATGCTCTACCCATTCATCCTTTCTGTCTCCTGGAACCCCTGGCAACCGCTGATCTTTTTACTGTCTCTCTAGAGAAAACTCTGTGTGGGAGAGACAGTATACAGGAGCTCTCTGTACAATCTGCTCAGTTTTTCTGTAAATAAAACCACTGTAAAAAATAAAGTCTACTAATTAGAAATTTTTACAAAATTTTATAAATTTTAAATAAAAAATCTAAAATGTAAAGCTTTTGTCTCAGTGTTGCCAGTCAAAAATTTTCAAGTTATTAATATAATATATAAGTATACAATTAATAGATAAGTGTACAAGAAATTAAAACTTTAAAATAATAATTTCTTGTAAGTTTGTAGCATTTATACTTCTGAAGCTAATAAAGCTTAAAGCTGTATTAATAATTTTGGGATGGTTTATTGATCTAAAATGTTAATATTGTGGAATCTGAGTGAAGGATATGTGGGAATTCTTTGAAATTTATTCTTTTGACTCCTGTATGTTTGCAATTATGTCAAAATAAAAAGTAAAAAAAAAATCCTCAGAGGTCAAACCTTGCAGCCTTATGTGTTATTGAGTTTAGTTCACAGCCAAATACTGTTTGTGTGCTGCTCTGAAAATCTAGCTTGGCCCTTCCTTCCTTGTGGTGGCTGGTGTGTAAAGTACAACATGTATCTCACTTTAGAAGGTCTGTACCAACAGCTCTAGACCACTGGACCCTTAGAGGCTCCACCCAAGTTCTCAGGGATTATCTCCCCCATCTGGCTTACAGAGGGACCTACGTTCTGGCTCCTTGGGCCCACCAAGTCCAATTAGCATGATGAAAACCTGTAATGGATGATCTTGGTACTCTTCGGTCCTTCTAGAACACATTATGACCATGTGCAGGGGAGAAGACATGGCCTGAGGCAAGACAGGAAAGGTATTTCATTGTTCCTGCCAGAGGGACAGGATAGGATGGGGAGAAAAGCATTTGCTGGGTTAGTAGTGACACTCCAGGTGCCAGGGCTGTGTGGCTTTGCTCCAGAGGGAAATACCACCCCTGCAGTCATGCTGTGATTCCCCTCACCATCTGCTTCCTCTCTGATCCTTCTCCATGACCCACCTGACTATGTGCTGACCACACAGGTGAGTTAGTTGTGGATAAGGTGGGAACCACTACCCTGCATCTTCAAGTCTTTGGTGGTAGCATTAAGCTCTCCTGGGGAAAGAGAAAAGCATTATAAGAAGGATGGTGCACTGAAGGAGCTTGATGAATGGTAGCCATCATCATAATTGTTGCCATGTTGTCATTGTTATTGTTTAAGGCAAAGCAAGGTCACCATTTGGATTACCCCTTTCCTTTATAAGTATCATATTTCACTGGTCCTAAGGAGCTTTATATTGCTTTATACATTAAAGTCTCTGAAATCAAGATATGATAACAGTTGATGATGTGTTACTGCTATTCAGTTGGATTAAAACTGAGTGCATTCACAGAGGCTTTCTGTTTGCTTCTGCCAGTCCCTTGTGGGCAGAGTTAGGTATACTCAAAACCAATGAAACTAAAACTTCAAGGTCCCTCTCTTGTGTGGTTCTTCCAAGGCCCTGCAACGGGCCTGAGTCACAGTTTCACATGATCATCTGGTTTTGTAAAATTTGTAAGAATAAGATATTTTATATTCATTTTCTTAAAGATGGCCCAAATTGCATAAACTTCAGGCTCTGGCTGAAGCTTCTCTTGTGTCATTCTGCTTGTCTTTTTCTTGCTATTTCTTTTTTGTATATTTCTCATTTACCCCTAAGCCATGGCCTTTAGTGTCTCTTTATCTGGGGGTCTTGTAGCAGCCTTCCATTGGCAGTAGCCTAATTTCTTAGTGTTACATTCAATAACAATGTATTTTGTAATCAGTGATGCCTTAAGTTCCATGAACAGTATGTAATAGGACACTCAGGCTGGGCCAGCTGAGAGCCAGGAGGCCAGCCTGTGAAGCTGGACAGCACTGTTTCCTAGAGGTTCCTTTTGTGGTCTGGGGAGATTAGCTTCCCCTCCCTCAACTACAACTGACAGTTTCTTAAAACTCAAGAAATATGTGGGGCCATTGAAACAAATGCTTAGTCACATATCCTGGTTTGTGTGGGGCTGAGGAAAGGACATGAATTCAGCCCAGATGTGGGGTTCAAATCTGTCTGAGGAACTGAAATGGTTGGAGGTAAGTCCAGATGTAACTAGACTGAGGGAGAGGCTATGGGACCTCTATGAGGGAGTGAGAACTTGCAGAAGGGCTCGGCTGAGCAAGTAGGGGCTAGATATGAGCCTCTTTTGATTTATTACCCCTTCCAGGGCCTGTGTAGTAAGGAGGAGAGGGATGTGGCATAAAACGAAAGACCTGTGTCACAGGAGGCCAAGCATTCTGCTGGGGGAACTCCTTCCAAAAGAGCTAGCTATGAGAAGAAGTGTAGTGGAGAAGAAGGATTACCTGGAGGAAGCCGGTGAAACTATTGGAATGGCAGTCACTCAACTTATACTCACTTAGGATGCAGCAGCAGCACCAGGATACTCAGGGATACCTCCCTGCCAGGGACACCTCCCTGCCAGGGACTTCAGACATATTTGGGGAAATTAAGCAGGACTTCTTACCAATAAGCTTGCAAATATGACCTTAGTTGTTTTCAGAAGGTAGTTAAGCCCATAGTACATCCCATACACCTCTACTCAACTTTAATCTGCACTGTCCAATATGGTAGACACTAGTCATGTGTGTCTATTGAGTTTTTGAAATATGTATAGTGTGGCTGTGGAACTGAATTTGAAATGTTATTTAATTTTAATTTTAAAATGGAAGGTATATAGAATATTTGTCCTGTAAAACTTAAGAAAATTGAAATGTTTCATTTTGAAATTTATAGATTTAGAATTGATTTTCAACTTGTGCAATACCTCCTTAAATGTGATATTAATAATTAAACATAAGAGTCAGTGGATTTACTTAACTTGATTAGGTGTGATTTTGAAGTTGACATGCTGTTGCTTCAAAGTTACATAAATTCTTCTGAAAAAGGTGAATATAAATGGTCAGTATAGTTGTAAACATTGAAGGAAAACAATTTTTTGGTCCTCAATTCAGTTATTGGAAAACTTCTAAGTATGTTTGGAATAACTTGGGTTTGTGAGTCTACTTGCCAACTATAAATTTTATGAGAGCTAAATACAGATCAAATACTTCAGATAAAAGTTTAGTATCCAAATCAAGATGGAAAAGAAGGGCAAAATATAAGCCAGATTAGAAAGTTTAGTACCAAGAAAAGAATGGAAAATTTCTGATGAATAATTATAAAACATAGCATCAATTATGTGCTGAAATGATAGGATTTTGGATACAGCAAGATTAAATAAGTCATTAAGATTAGTTTCATTGGTCCCCCACTCCCTTTTAAAAATGTGGCTATTAAAAATTTTAAAATGACATATGTGGCTTGCATCCATTTCTTTTTTTAAAAGATAGCTTTTAAAACCACTGCAATGATGTAAAGTAATTAGCCTCCAACTAATAAAAATAAATGGAAAAAAAAAAGATAGCTTTATTTTTTTAAAATAAGTTATTTCTTATTTTTGGTTGTGCTGGGTGTTCACTGTTGCAGAGGGCTTTCTCTAGTTGTGGTGTGCATGCTTCTCATTGAGGTGGCCTCTCTCGTTGCAGAGCACAGGCTTTAGGCACATGGGATCAGTAGTTGTCGCACATGGTTTTAGTTGCCCTGCGGCATGTGGGATCTTCCCAGGCCAGGGATCAAACCCATGTCCCCTGCATTGGCAGGCAGATTCCTATCCGTTATACCACCAGGGAAGCCTTGCATTCCATTTCTGTTGGACAGTGCTGATCTAGATTATCTGAAAGCAGGTCCACATTTTGTCCTTATCCATATCCTCAGTGACATGTAACAGGGCTACATAAATGGTCGTTGAGGAAGATGATTTAATCTTGGAGCAAGCTTTCTACATCTGAGCATGATGGGTGCTCAGGTAAACTGCTAAGACTGAATTCATAAAATAATGTGTAAAGCCACTCTTTCACTTTCCCAGGAGAGCTTATACTCTCCATGTTTCTCTAACATCTTTTCTCTTGGTCACCACTAGCTAAATGAGGAAGTGTTGAATCTACTACTGGTCTATTGATTCCTGCCCCACCACTGCCCCTTGATTTCTTCCCAAAGCACCTATAGCATCACTGATATTATGAAGGGAGTTGGCAGTAACTTGTCTTAAAGCTTAACATTCAGAAAACTAAGATCATGGCATCTGGTCCCATCACTTCATGGCAAATAGATGGGGAGACAGTGGAAACAGTGTCAGACTTTAATTTTTTGGGCTCCAAAATCACTGCAGATGGTGACTGCAGCCATGAAATTAAAAGACGCTTACTCCTTGGAAGGAAAGTGATGACCAACCTAGATAGCATGCCAAAAAAGGTCTGTCTGGTCAAGGCTATGGTTTTTCCAGTGGTCATGTATGGATGTGAGAGTTGGACTGTGAAGAAAGCTGAGCACCGAAAAATTGATGCTTTTGAACTATGGTGTTGGAGAAGACTCTTGAGAGTCCCTTGGACTGCAAGGAGATCCAACCAGTCCATCCTAAAGGAGATCAGTCCTGGGTGTTCATTGGAAGGACTGATGCTGAAGCTGAAACTCCAATACTTTGGCTGCCTCTTGCGAAGAGCTGACTCATTGGAAAAAGCCCTGATGCTGGGAGGGGTTGGGGCAGGAGGATAAGGAGACGACAGAGGATGAGATGGTAGGATGGCATCACCGACTCGATGGACATGGGTTTGAGTAAACTCTGGGAGTTGGTGATGGACAGGGAGGCCTGGCGTGCTGCGATTCATGGGGTCACAAAGAGTTGGACATGACTTGAGTGACTGAACTGAACTGAACTGAACTGTCTCTAGTCTGGTTTGCCAAGTAGGCTTTTGAGTTTGAAACTGTGAACCTCATTCATATGCATTTCCTGTCCAGGCCCTCAGTAAGGAATTCAGCTGCAGAAAACAAAACAAAACAACAAATACCTGTGATTTGTCCAAAGAAGTTAGGTAGTTTATTGCTTATCCACTTTATGAAGCCTCTTCCCCTAAAATTCATCATGGCTTAAAAAAAAATTATTTATTTGGTTGCACTGGGTCTTTGTTGCTGTGAACGGCCAGTGAGTGGGGGCTATTTGCTAGTTACTGGGCACTGGCTTCTTATTGCAGTGGCTTCTCTTGTGGAATACGGACTCAGTAGTTGTGGTGCACAGGCTTAGTTGCCCCGTGGCATGTGTAATCTTCCTGGAGCAGGGATTGAACTCTGGTCCCCTGCACTGAGGTGAGTTCTTAACTACTAGACCACCAGGGAAGCTCTCAACATGACTTTTGTGTCCAATCTTGTACTGCACTGAAAGCCTGACTCTCTGTGATGTGAATTACCTTTCCCTTCCAAGAGGAGCTGGAGAAAATGGAACATTTTCTCTTATGCTTGACAGGGACAAGTGGGTTTTCTGTTGACTCTGCAACACAGCACATCTATGGTGGGATCTACTCCGGTTCCTGCTCAACCTATTGTTCAAAGTAACCAGTCTATATGATCTAATTAAGCCAGTTGCTTCAGCAGAGAAAATAGTTTGCTTTATTTCATCACTCAACAAGCAGATTAATTTCTTGAACATGACTGGAACTGCTGTGCTGTTGTGTCAGGAGACTGAGTTTTCAATCAAGACTGGGCAAGGACATGGCCTGGATCACCTTTTCCCCTTTTCCTGTGTTCCAATATCCAAGCTAGAAATGCTGGACAAACCTTCATTATATCATTTAAGGTCAGATACTATGTGAGGAATATGAAGTATGGAGTGTTTTT